TCGATTTAACATCCATATTGTATATAAAAAAAAAAAAAAAAAATATTTAATTAATTATAAATTTATTATTTACCCTTTTCTTTTGGGTCTTGTATGCTTTACTTTTGGATACCGACGTTAAAATGTTACTTCACAAGTGTCGTTTATTTTATTTTCTTTACTTTTTGGTGTATGTTAAACAGCCTGTATGATTTATGATAAACTGCTGTCAAATGATTTCAAATTGTTTGAAGATTGTGCTCAGGCTGAACAATTTGATTTTTTCCTTGTGCAGGTGAACCTGGAGAGTCTGCCTAACTGGGAAGAGAAGCATTAACTGAAGACAAAATTAGTTGAGAAAATTTCAATCAAATTATCTGTACATACTGGTAATTGAGGCTATTTAGCAGCTGCTACTGCAACAAAGGTGAGTACAAATGCCACACATTGTAAAACTTGATCAACACTGAAGATAAAACTTGGGAATTTTGTGAATCATCATCAAGTTACATACCCGATATTTCATCGTCTCACAATTGTACGAAACATAAGCAAGTCGAAATAGTTTCTACAGAAATTGAGGAACATTCAATTGTCGAATGCAGACATCAATACTTACTACATAATAAGACCTCAGGCCAATCTTTCAACAATATGAAAGGAAAGCAAGCTTACATGCTTTGGATCCTCGCTTAAACAACGAAATTCTCTTACGCCCTTGGAATTTCGTTTCCAGATCAATACATTCATGAATAAATATTTCAATCCTCTCCAATACTCGAGAATTCCTCAAAAGATATCTGACAATGTCAAATTCATCCTCTTTGAACCACATCGACTTAATTGTTATAGTTCTTAGACATGATAATAGGCATTTAGGCACTTGTTCTTGCTCCGGACACAAAGATCCCTTTTCCAAATAAACCTGCCGACACTAAAAGGAGCATAACAAAATGAGTAAAACAAAAGAAGGAGCTATTGCTGTAAGAAAACCGAGAAACGGGTAAAGACAAATTTAATTGCATCAACGATAAATTTCACTTACAATAAGGACTTCAAGATTGTCAGCAATTTCAAGGAACTTTACAAGCAAACTCCATTCAAAGTTAAACCGGATTTCAAGTTTGGTTAGGTTATCAAACTTTACGGTTGAACAAGCAACTCCTCTTTGAACAAACTGAAAATATTAAAACCACATTACACATATATATATAAACAACAAAGCCGAAAACTAATTGACAGGAGACCTAAGAGATTCAAGAATCAAAACATACCTCCTTAAGTTCCCAACCTGATATCACTAGGCACGTTACATAGCACTGAAGAAAATTCACAACCGTGGTATTGTAACTTCGTAAGCGGATATCCGCCTCAAATAAGGAGATCATGGTTATAGGAACTGTTATACACTCCAAAGCATGGCCATACACTTGGAGATACCTAAGGGCAGGGGCATTTAATATCATCCTACATTTACATTTACGGTTAGATGGACAGGTCAAATGCTCAAGATGGAGCTTAAGCGTCTTTATTGTGGGTGATGATATATTTATGCAGCTGACAGAATCATAATCATAATCATAATCAAATGGTCCCTTCTCCACAGATGTGAATTTCATATTCAAGTCCTCAAGCGACGGACAGCCGGAAAGAAAGTGAGGGAGGGCTTCATCATTCTCGTACAACAACATCAGAAACATGACTTCTTGAGGCTAGGCAATGAGACATTCTCCACAGCAGGCAGTGACGCTCTACAGATATCAAGCTTCAAGTTGACAATGGTTTTGCCGTTGAAGATGCATGGAGGCAATGTATACAAGTCAAATAGATAAAGATTCCGGAGACAACGGTCGATGACAGCTGTAATCAACTTCTCCAGTTGATACTCGTTGCGGTTGACGTAATCGAGTGTTAAAGTATCCATTCTTTTTGCCTTGTGCCGAAATATAACCCTGTTGATGATGTCCGATGCTTTTGTTCTTCTTTTCCTGAAATCAAAATGCAGAGAGGGTACGTGGGCCCATAGAAATCTCCATCTTTTTCCAAGAACACTGGTCGCCATTGAGCGCTTAGTCGGGAGGAAAGAGAGAATATGGCATATGACTTCGTCCGGCAAGCTGCTCAGCCTATCGGCCGAGCCCATGTTTTGCTCTCTAATCGAAAGCTTTTGGCGCTTTCCACTCGGTTGTTTGGTTTTATCCATGTAAATTCTGACAAAGGGCACCTGATTTTCACAATTTCAAACCAAGGCAGTAGCATTCAGAGGGTACCATGATTCAGATTATTTTTTGATGGGCCGTTTAATTCTAAGTATAGTGTGAAGAAGATGATGAGAAAGATCGTTTCCATAAAATTTTGTTATCTCCATATTTTTTCTCTTGGAAATTTCCACAAACAGTTGGCTGCCAAAAATTTCAACAAAACTGATGTGTGTTGTTTAAGAGGTTTATTTTCATGCGTGTACAGGTATATAAGAAAAACGAAAACGAATAATCAAAAAGCGGCGGAGATAAAACGTACCTGTGAACTCTTCTCGCCCTCAATGCTCAATTCAGGTTCTCTTTAGGTCTCTGCTAAATACCCTGCTGTCGAATCAATTTAAGGGTGTATTGTATTTATTTGATACTTTAAATAATACTTTAATAATCAAATTGCGGCGGAGAAATATGGCGGCCTACCTGTAAACTCTTCTTGCTTTAGGGTCTGTTTTGAATATACCACTATCGAATCAAGTTAAGGGTGTATTGTATTTGATTTAAAAAATATCTTACAACTTTTTAAGAGATGATTCTTTTTTTATGATTTTATGAAAATTATATTTGATATTTTAAGCAAGAAGTGCGTTGGAAAAGGTCAGTTAAACGCCATAAATTGCAAAATTTTCGTAAAAGATAAGAGCAAAAACGAAACTATAACCTAATTAGGAATTCAAAACATAAATTTAATTAAGGCATATAGCCCATGAGAACAAAACAAGAGTTCACCCGTCGGCTTAGACAAATTAGTCTAGTCACGGAATAAGTTTCGAACTCGATGACCTGCGTTACATAAATCTAAAAATTATGTAATTTTATTGTCGGATATTGAGAAATCAATTATACATCATAAGATACCGTTAGAATCATCAAGAAAAGAGTTTACTAAGATAATTTTCATAATAATTCAACGGACATATCTCATTTGACATTCCGAAAAACTTCAATGTTATATTTCCTGTTAAAAACTTTGTAGCATGAACTTAATTATTTTAGGGTCTTGTTTGAATTTTTGCATATTGTTGTAAAATTAGAAAATTAAACTTTGTTTGTTTAGATATTTTTAGCTTGTCAAATCAACCAAGTAGTTTGTTTGGATAGAAAAACTTATTCAATTACAGT